AAAAATTTAATAATGTTTACATTCAAAACTAGCGCATTTTGAATTATATAAATCTGCTCTTACATTTAAAGAATATATAATTACAAAACAGTTGAGCAACCAATATAGAAAAACAGCGATAGGTTTATTCAGAGATGAGTTAGTCTTTAGAAGAGTCAAGTCGTTAACTTCCATTGTTTTGAAATATTGAGGGTGTATATATGTGGGGGGTTTGGGTGTTCACATCCACCCACACCCTTCGACGAGCACTATCAAACAAAAAACAAATTGAAGAAAACAAAAATTCACTCATTCTTTTAAGCATATGCACTTAATGTAAAATGTGTGGTGCAGCGTAACACCCAACCATTCAGCATAATTCTTTACCTATAGAGGAAGTAGAAAAGCTTACGTCGTGGTAACGAAACACTAAAGTGATTTATGCTTATATCATGAATTTCCAACATAGTAAGTCAACATTTCACTTTTTAAATTTATGTTAGCTACAAAACAGGTGACAAAAATTAAACAAGCTGTTATTTTGCGTCTGGCAGAAACAAAGAACGACAAAGAGTGGTAAACATTAAAAAAAGTGTTTGTATAAATGTTGGATTATGAGGCCTGAAGGAGAGAGTAAATCTTGGGTGTGGGTGTGAATTAAATATAATAGGAGATTAACAATATTTTTTTGTTAGCGCGAGTGATAGTCTAACCTGACACTAAACTAATATGAAAATATGTCTTCTAGTCTAATTGGCTTAGAATAACTGGCCAGATAGCAAAAGGTGACGGTTGGAGTCTCATGAAGGTCGTCTTTTTCTATCTTTTCCACTTTCGAACTGCATTCCCAACTTATGACTCTCATATGAAGCTTACATTTTTGAATAAATAAATAGAGAAACAAATATAGGTAATAAACAATAAGTTTCGTTTTTTTTCTTTTACTTTCAGTTATATTTAGGGGTGCACTAGTTCCAGTTCTGAATAGTCTACTGGATTACCGATCATACTGTATTTCAAGTATCACTGAATATCCGGCAGCATGCTCCAATAGTGATCGGGTAATCAGTCATTTTGTTCGACTACACTACAATCGCCTGAATATAATAATAATAATAATACAAGATATGGACAAGTTGAAAAGACAAGTGGCACTAAGCTGACTTGTCGCGCAACACGGTTTTCAAGAAAAAACGTTTTTTAGTGCAGCCCTTTTTAAGACAAAAGTGTGGAACTCACACGTATACATTAGATTTCCTAAATTAACCCATAATAGCTCAAGTGAAAAATCTACCTGAACTCAATTTCAAATTCAGCCCATATTCATATTTTAGGATTGATGACGGTTTCCGATCATCACATAACACAGAGTGACCTAAAAAACAAGCGCGTGGATTATGTTGTGGATTTCAGTGGTTTTCCGTTTTGCAAAGAATATTTCTCTCATGCATGGATATAATTATAAAATAAGGTACATTTTTTTCAGAAGAAAACAAAACTATTCACATTTTGATGTTTTGCTTCATTTCGGACATTGATGATGCGAGGCAATCATAATAGTTGAATAGATCAAATATTGCAGCAGGCAAAGATTTAATGGGTCCAAAAAATTCAAAATCATATAAAAGGTCATCATACAACAGGCATTCTATAGCATTATCATCACCCAACAAAACATCGAAGGCGTTGTATACAACCAATTCAGCGTCTTTTCGCGCGCAGAACAATTTTTATCATTATTCGGAAAATCCAATAATTGATTTAACACCACCTATGAGATATCCAAAGTCGGAGTCTACATACACTCAAAATCATCGTTATGTATGGGACGGCAGAGCTAGCGAAGAACCTTCAGCTAGAAAGCTTCAAAGTTCTGGTACTGGCTATATGAACATTGATCGGAATGACTATTCTGAAGTCGAAACAATACGAGAGATAAAACCATCGCCAAAACCCAAGTTGGAAAATGATCGTTCTAAAGGTAATTTTCATACGTAATGCTGCGTATACAAATGACTTTGAATCAGGGTCGCCTGTTTCATTCAAGGCAAATAACTACTGATTCCATCGGGTTAGAGAGCCCTGATAATTCTCAAATTCACATGACATTTCGTCAGTACTACTGCAATTTCATTATACTCTTAAGTACTTGTGGAGAGACTATTAATATCCATAAAGAAACTATTTTCCGTTTCAACTCCGCGGATATTTATCTCGTATTGATCTTATCTAAGTTTGTAAGAGTCTAATAAAAACAGCCTCTGCATTCATCCTAAATGTCTATCTTATGTGGTTGAGCAATGTCGCGTTCTGATAAGTTGACGGTCGATTATCTCATTTTGCGTGTCGTATATTTGGTTGTTGGGATAGCTCGCATACATAGTAGAAATCATGATACGCGAATGATTTTGTATGCCTCTTTTGGTATATGTTCCGGTGACTCTCGGAGAAATTTAATCGTAGACAAGGTTGCATAGACCAAACCTCATCTACCAACACTCACATGCACATTCTCAAAGTATAAAATGATCAGGTTAGCAAGAATATATTTCATGATGAATTACAAATAATTATTATCTCTTCAGTGCAGAATCTATCAGAATAAATCTGGGTTTTTACTCTAATTTATTGAACTAACGAGATGCTCTTGATATTTTCATTTAGATCCAATACGAACTGTAGTTCAACAACGTACCGTATCGTCTGCTCCCGCGAGGAGAAATTCCTATAGTCGCTTACGAGATGATCTACAATAATTTGGCGAGTCAAATATCTTTTTTTTAGATCGTCCTAATTACCGAATAATAATTAGGCTATTCAATTTCTCTTTCACACGTCTCCAATTAAAACAGCGAGTTTAACGTTGGAATGATCTAAGTAGTTGAACATATGTATAATTATATCTGTTCATTGGTTATATATTGCTTCAAAATTTGGAATTTCAACGCTTTAATCGAACTTGAGTAGTATAAGTGAACGAGATGTTTGTACTGATGTTGATTCCTTTATTGTGTAGTCTCTCAATGGACTTTGAATTTAGTATTCTCTCCTTTTTTTTAGAAAAATAACGAAATAGTTTTCTTGTTAGAATAATTTAATTGAGTTTTAGTCCTTTGTTACCTATTGTATAGACATTTTAGCTTTTAAGTAAGCAACACAGTTGAATAGTGACATTACAGATACGATGGTAATTTTTAGTTGTTTACCTTGCAATCTTTCTTCATGCTGAAAATACCGAATATCTAATTTCATACAATCGTGATATTTGCGTAGTACTTTAGTCTTTACAATTATTTATTGCCCATATAATCTTCTATCGTACTGTGAAGCATAACATTATTTTCGAAGTAATCAAATAGTTTAATAGGATCCTCGTGAACACAAGTCATTCTCCTTGCGATTTTAAAACACATCTTGAGCTTAATGATTTGTTTGAAAAGCATTACAATAGTAGAAAGTATACGTTGTTACTCTTATAATAACTAATTTAACATAAAATGTAAAATCATGTTAAGAAACTAAAGTCTGTCGGTGAAAATGAATAGGGTAGTTGAATCGCATCTTGTGCAGTCATTCGTTTCTGCTATCATCGCTGATCATTTTCTTACATCGAAAATTTTACTTCAGAGTAAGTACAGTAATTTAACATTGGCAGTCAGAGAAGGCTGGGGTAATGAGCATTCGTTTACCTAGTGATGTCTGATCGTGTTAAAGTCTGCGAAATTTTGTTTAGCAACGTAAATAGATTCATACTATACTCTTGATAGATGGTAAGTTTCAATTCATTTACAGTGCATCGTTAAATTTGCTTTTACAAAAATTCCAGCTTTTTTCTCAGGAAAAGAATAATATTTGAACAATTAATTCGTCTTAATCATTCGTAAAACACGTAATATTATATTATATTAGAATCTCGGAATATTGTTTTATAGAAATCAGGATAATAATTGAACATAATACTGCCGATTGAAATCATTGATTTGCTCTGTGATCAATGGTTTTCTTATGATCCCGTATTCTATTCTTCGTGTTAAATACAATACTTGTAAAACATCATTTTCTTCTCTGTAATACACTTTCAATATAACTGACGATAATGTGAAAATTTTGTTACTTTTTATTCAATATAGAACAGAATAACTAAATATAAATGTGGTAAGAATCGTTCGTGAGACTTGCGATGAGCGTTATAAACGACGAGTTCCAGGTCATACGTTTAATTTATGAAAAATAGTTAAACAGAATCTTCCTCTTTACCATTCCTATATCATTTGATTATGCATCAAGTTTCGAAGTCGCTTATACACTCTTTGAACGAAAAATAATAGTTGTATAAAGTCTTATTCCTCGCGATTCATTGGCCCTGTGAATATATCATCTAAGTTGAAAGTTCGAAACTTTATAAAGAGGTCGAAAAATGTTTGAATGGAAGGTTTGTAGCGAGTATTCGTGTATTGTTTAGCAATAAAGTCATTTTCCAGTGTAACCTTTTGTTCTACAATGAAAATAGTACTAAAACTAATTTATTATTGTTACGAGTATTCATTCTTCATGTTATGACTCAAAAAGTTTGTACTCAAAAAGGTTACATTTCAGCGTAGTAATACTGTTGAATATTGCTCTGGTTCATATCGTTCTATTTTTTTATAATCATCTATTCATTAGGATTCGATTAGCCATTATTTTATTCCGCTGATAGCATTAAAATAATACTATTGTAAAGATCATTCATATTTTACGATGCGATTATTCGTGATGATGCCGACAGTAATGTTGTTGTTTGAAATTCAAAGCAGCTGGATACTACATTCGTTTGAGACATTTATTTTCTATACCAGGTTCTTTCACTGATCAAATTTGGCAGAGTAGCTTCAAAATGATGTGTATAACTGAATAAACTGATCATATCAATCCTGATGATAACTGTGGTGTCTCCAGCAACGGCAATCAACATGGCTATCAAACATTTGATGACGATTTATATAATTAAAATCAAGCAGCACTAACAGAAACTTTCCTTCCCTTTCCTTTCCTGATATACCTTATCAGATTTTAGCATGGATTGGTTTTATTTACCGTAACGCGTAGCCCATAAAGAATAGGGGTCTCCGCTGATTTTCAACCGTTCGATCTAAATTTTTAAGAATACATCCGATTTCGTGACGTGTTGGTATGGAATGGCAGAGAACGAGTCTCGCTATGTTCACATCGATACCCGCACAGACAGCTACCCTCACCCCCACATCGGCACGCGTATCGACACTCACCCTATAATTCGCACCCACGCCCCATAATCAGTTCATTTTTGAATGGGTAAGAGAAGATATAATAACAACAGAAGTTGTAATTCCAGGAACCATTCCAATCGATTCCGGAATAGGATAACTGCTCAAATTTATGAAAAGTTGTCG